GATGACATGGCTCCCCAAATCAACACAGACTGTGGAAACTTCACACTGGACTTCAAGCATCTGGCATTGTGTGCCTCCCCATTCTTCCTCCAGACTCTGGGTCCTTGGTTTCCAAATGAGGTGCAAAAGCTGCTCTCATCGGAAAAGAGGACTTGGGACCACTGAGCAACAGACCAGTTCTTTTTTTCTTTAGCCCAGGTAAGACGCTTCTGACATTGTTTCTTGTTCAGGAGCGGCTTGACAAGAGGAATACGACATTTGAAGCCCATCTCCAGGATCCGTCTGTGTGTGGTGGCTCTTGATGCACAAACTCCAGCCTCAGTCCACTCCTTGTGAAAGTCCCCAACACGTTTGAATGGTCTTTTCCTGACAATCCTCTCCAGGCTGCGGTCATCCCTGCTGCTTGTGCACCTTTTCCTTCCACACTTTCCCCTTCTGCTTAACTTTCCATTAATGTGCTTCGATACAGCACTTTGGGAACATCCAACTTCTTCTGCAATTACCTTTTGAGGCTTTCCCTCCTTATGGAGGGTCTCAATGATGGCTTTCTGCACAACTGTCAGGTCAGCAGCCTTCCCCATGATTGTGCTTCCTACTGAACCAGACTGAGAGATCATTTAAAGGCTCAGGAACCCATTGCAGGAGTTATGGATTGAATAGCTACTGCACCTTTTCACAATATTCAAATTTTCTGAGATTGTTAATTTGGGGTTTTCATCAGCTGTACGCCATAATCATCACAATTATAACAAATAAAGGCTTGACATATCTCGCTTTGCATGTCATGAGTCTATCTCATATATTAGTTTCACCTTTTTAACTGAATTACTGAAATAAATGAACTTTTCCATGATATTCTAATTTTTCGAGTTTCACCTGTACTTCAAAGGAAAGTTTGGTTAGGATAACGACTAGGGTTTCTTTGTATGCAATTTCTCAAGTAGCAGAAAGCTCCATTCAAGTCACGCGCGCGCGCACGGGGGGGGGGGCACTATGCCCCTTCTCTTGTGTGTATGTTTATTAGTGGGTCGCCTTTGGTCAGAAGATGGCTAAACTAAGGCGCTTGAGGTTTAACCCAGAAATCTTCCATTAAGGGGACATGGGAGGGGGGTAGGGGGAGGGAGAGAGTGTGTTTCTTGGGGGAAGGGGGATAACAAACACACCCACCCAATGTAAACACCCCCACTCGGTACAGCTAAGAGGACACTTGAGCGTTAGGTCCTGCTGGGATCCTTCGCCCAATGGCTAGAAAATCAATCCGGATTATTCGCGAGGTGCTGCGGAGATGGGAACAGTCCGCAGCTGATTGCAGATTTCTGCCACCCGTCTCCCCTCGCCCCCCCCCCCGCAAAGAAGTGTCTGGACTCCAGGCTGCTGCTGCTGCTGCTGCTGCTCCTCCTCCTCCTCCTCCTTTCCCCAGATGTCCACCTTCCCAGATGTCCACCCCACCCACACAAGATGTGTTCAGCTTAGCCTCCCAACTTTCTCTTCCCCAGTTCTGGGCAGTTTGGGGAAACTTCAGCTAACTTGAGCGCGCGCGGTTGTTGTCTAGGGCGAGGAATCCGACCAAAGTCTCCCTACCCTCCTCCTCTTCTTCTTCCTCCTCCTCCTCCTCCTCCATCTCCACCTCCAGCCTCCCCGGCCGGTCCACTTACAGCTCAGGGTTCATCGGGGAGAAGGCGGCGGCTGGGTCTTCCTCAGGTGCGCAGCTGCTTCGCTGCTTCTTCTCCTGCTGCTGGAGGGAACCGTGGATGATGGAGAAGGCGCAACTCTACTTCTTTCGGCAGCTTAGACGGGCTTTTCACCGCCGGGGTGGGGTGGGAGTTTTGTGGACAGAGAAGTCTCTCAATTCCCTGACCCGCCGAAGAAGGTGATCTGCTGAACGGAGGCAGGCTGGGTGGATTCCTTCCAGTTTGGCTCAGACACTCCCCCAAGGGATTTCAGCCTCAGTGTTACTTGGATTTGGAGCACGGCGTTCACTTAGGTCTCAGTTGTTCTGCTTCCTTCTAACCATCTCACTCTTCCTCCAGCCAGCCAGCCAGCCAGCGAGCAAGCTGCTCTCAGGCTCTGGGAAAGGAGTGAGCCACAGAGCGAGCGAGCGAGCGCGCCGTGGGGAGGGGAGGCCTCCCCACTAATATCTGTAACGCCATCAGCAATGTAATTTGTGCGGAATGTTCATTTTGTATTGGTGTTCTCCCTGTGCCAAAAATGCGCGCTTGATTGCATAGAGTGGGCTCGTTGACGGAGCAAGGTGTGACCGCTATCGAGGGGCGGAGGAGGGTGAGGGAGAAGGAGAAGTTCAGCTCAGGCCAAAGCGTGGGGTGGGGTTTTTATATATAGATGGATATATAGATACATGGATATATAGATCTCGATCTCTTCCTCACCCCCAGGCTGTTTTAGACTGCAAAGGCGCCGCGCGCCGCGATGAGTGTTAAATAGATGGCTAATTACGCGTATGAAAATTAAACATCAGTGTTATGCTAATAGGGCCGCCTTCAGCTGTGGATCAGAGCACTTGAGACTAGCATTTAATCAAAGGAATCAGTAACTAATACTGCTGCACGTGTGAACTTTCCTCAAGATCATCATCCCTCCACCCCCGCCGCCGAGCGGCTCCTGGGTCTCGCGCGCCCAAGCGAAATGATGGAAGCGGAGCGGGGGGGGCGCGGGGGGGGGAGAGAAATTATTAGCAGGCGCTTTAGACGACGAAAAGTCAGTTGGGATTCAGCCCAGAAGGCCTTTGCCTGGCAGCGGCTCTGAAGCGCCCCACACACTATCGCCACCCCCCGCACCCCGACAGCCAAGACTTTGGTTCTGGTTGGTCAGAGAGAATTTGGCCAAATGGGAAGAGGCGAAGAGCAGGCGGGGATCCGGCTTCGACTTTTTATGGGAACGGGATCAGGCCAACATGCAGGTCGCTTCCGTCTCTGGGTGGCTTGGTGGGTAGATCGGGGAGGAGTATTACTCTCCTTGAGCTCCCCCACCCCACCCTGCGCCCCCGGAAGCACAAAACAGCTGGCCTTTGGCTATCTGCCCTGGAAAGGAAGCCGCTGATTTATTTCCCCATTCCAAGCTGAGCAGGCCTGTTGTTAGAGGAAAAGCCGGCTTCCCAATGACACAGAACTCTTCGTCAAAGTTTGACTTCAGAAATGTAACCCGAAAAGTACTTCTCATGGTGGACCTCCTGCTCGCTGAGGATGAAAAATTGAGAACCCTTCCTTCACCCCAAACACTGAAATCCTGATTGTGATGACCAGAAGTGGTAGAAGGGAACTGAGGGGTAAGGGATTCCCGTTAGGTTATTATTGTTTGTTTGTTTGTTTGTTGTTTTTAACGGGGGTCTCAAGACAGCAAAAGGCATTTTCTCACCCGTCTTGGCTCAGCAGCCAACACTGCGTTTGCTTTCCCTGCAGTCTGACGAAGAGTTCTGCGTTCGCGCTAAAGTCGGCACACTTTTTCAGCTGACCAAACCAAAAACATGAATGACAGCCCCATCCCCAAAGCAACCCCGAAGGCTCCGAGGTAAAGCTGTGAAAAGCAGCTTCTTCTGAGGTCTCCTGCGGGGTATCTTCTTTGCCACAGAAGGGGACTGTGAAGATCTCTCCTCCCCCCTTTCCTTAAGATAAGCCACAAAGCCTTTGTATTGAGTAGGGCAACGATATCAGCTGCCCCTTTTGGGGGGACGAGGGAGAGCTGTTACACAATGGATCCCCTAACACGTGCGAAATTGATCAGATGCACCCTCCGTGGAAGGTCCCAGCCCCAAATGCACACACCTGACTATATACCACAACAACTTTGCAGAGGCAGGCTGGTGGCAGCTGCTGTTTTCTTTATAAGCAGCGAGGCATGGTGGGCTTCAGGCGGTGCCAACCATTTCTGGACACGCACGCACGCAGCTCGTGTCCCAGTTACTGGTCCTAATACAGTGGTACCTCGGGTTAAAAACTGAATTCGTTCTGGAGGTCCGTTCTTAACCTGAAACTGTTCTTAACCTGAAGCACCACTTTAGCTATTGGGGCCTCCCACTGCTCCTGCGCCGCCGGAGCACGATTTCTGTTCTCATCCTGAAGCAAAGTTCTTAACCCGAGGTACTATTTCTGGGTTAGCGGAGTCTGTAACCTGAAGCATATGTAACCTGAAGCGTCTGTAAACCGAGGTACCACTGTATAATATCTGAAGAAGCTGGACGATCTGCTCCCATCTCTCTGGGAGAGACCCCCTCCGAGGGGGAGATCTGCAAGGGTAGGAGGGGGTCTGAGGGAGAGAGAGAGAGAGAGAGAGAGAGAGAGAGCCCTTCCTCTCTCTCAATCCATCTGATGTTCTGACATCAGGTTGGTGGCGCTGCTAGAGGTAGTAGATAGCAAAATCGTTTGGAGACGTCAGAGGGGTCCTGGAGCCTGGGATCTTTCCCTCTCCATAGGAGGGGTTTTTGCGCCCCTCCTTCCTCCCCTGGGGGCCAGGGAGGGGTCTCTGGGCGGCCCCCCTCGCGCTGGCCCCGTCCAGCTCGGCGCCGTCGTCTCTGCCTTCTCTCCTTCCTTCCTTTTGCTGCTTCTCTCTTTCCTTCGCGTCTCTCTCTCTCTCTCGCTCGCTCGCTCGGGTCCAGCAGGCGAGCCCCCGAAAAGCGTCTCCGGCCAATCGCGCGCGATCCTGCCAGGCGGCGGGCCAATCAGCTCGGCGAGCTCATGCATATTCATCGCTTTTGGCTGAGTCAAAGCTTTTAGGCGAGTTTGTGTAGATCTCCAAGCATCATGCCTTAGACTTTTTCAAAGAGACAAACTCCATTTTCTTATGAATGGAAAGTGAAAAGCCCCGGGCCTCTTAAATTGGGTCCTGAGAGAGAGAGAGAAAGAGAAAGAGGAAAGAGAGAGAGAGAGGGAGAAAGGGAGAGAGAGAGACCCCCCAAAAAGGCAGGCTGGAGGAAGAGAGAGAGAGAGAGACAGAGAGAGATCGCCAGGGAGAGAAAGAGAGAGAGGCACCCAAGGCAGCGGCGCGCAATGACCATGACTACCATGCCAGAGAGCCTCAATAGCCCTGTCTCCGGCAAGGCGGTCTTTATGGAGTTTGGGCCGCCCGGGCAGCAAATGCCGCCGTCGCCCATGTCTCACGGACACTATTCCATGCACTGTTTACACTCGGCCGGCCACTCGCAGCCGGACAGCTCCTACAGCGCCGCTTCGTCCTTCTCCAGACCGCTGGGCTACCCCTATGTCAACTCGGTCAGCAGCCACGCGGCCAATCCTTACATGAGCTCAGTGCAGTCCTACCCCAACAGCACCAGCTTGGCTCAGACCCGGTTAGAGGAGACAGGTACGTGCCTGCAGAGGGGAGGGGAGGGGAGGGGAGCTGGCTGGGTTCTGTGGGGAGAAAGGGGGAGGAAACGGGGGGAGGGGGAGGGGAGGGGGCTCCGGGAAGCACCAAACGACACCCCCCCCCAGAAAAGAACAAGATCTGAAAGGGGGGGAAGGAATCTCGAAGGAAGCAAAACAATAATAATATTAATAATAATAATGCTATCAAGCTACACCCCCCCTCCTCCTTCCCAGTCCTCAAGAGAGCAAGCAAATTCCTCCAGCCAAACCTCCACGATCTCTGGAGTTTGCACACAAAGCCACCCCGTGCCCGGCTGGCAAAACCCAGAAAGAAATTCCTTCCCTCCTCTCCTCATTCTCTCTCTCCCTCTCTCTCCCTCTCTCCACCCCCCCCCCCCAGATGTGCGCCTATTAGGCTCGGCAATTATTTATTGCGTAGCGCTATAAACAATGTATGCAATTAAGGGTAATTAAACCTAAAGTGCCACCGCCTGTAAAAATAGCAAACTTTCTTTCTTCTCCGGCGACCGAGCCTCCGGGACTCAGCAGCCTCTCTGGAGTTGCCGAGCAGCAGCAGAAGAAGAGGAGGAGGAAGAGGAGGAAGAGGCAGCCACCGGGCTCCGGGGCTCCTTGAGAGTGGCGAGGAAAAGGAGGAGGAGGTGAAGGAGGGTTTCTTGACACGGCTGCTCCCGGGGCACCTCCAAGGCCAACGGATTTGTTGGGAGGAAAATTTGGGGCCCTTGTTAGGATTGCCTTCTCATCAGCACCATCAACATCGCTGGTCATTGCTCATCCATCCATCCCTCCATCCAGTCATCCAGTCCCTCACTGGCCCGCTTTCTTGCTTCTTGCAGGGGCCGAGACGGAGAAAAGCACCGTGGTGGAAGGCGGGGAAGTGCGCTTCAACGGCAAAGGGAAGAAAATCCGAAAGCCCCGGACTATTTACTCCAGTTTGCAGCTGCAGGCTTTGAACCGGCGGTTCCAGCAGACTCAGTACCTGGCTTTGCCCGAGAGAGCCGAGCTGGCCGCCTCCTTGGGACTCACTCAGACCCAGGTAGGCAGCGCCAGCAGCACCTGCATCCCCAGAACATCCTTCGCCCGCTCAACCCCATCCCTGCGCCCCGAGCAACTTCCTGGCGGCCTCGCCTGCCCGCGGCCCTCTCGGCTCGCCATATCTCCCGAGGCCCAAGAGGCAAGATCCCGGGGGAAGCTGGGCGGGGTAGGTGGTGGGGCTGCTGCTGGTGGTGGTGGGGCAGAGAGCCCTCCGAAGCATCAGTCGAAAAAGACCTCCTTCTGCTCCACTGCTGCCCCACCACCAGACCATGTTCGCTCCCCTACCTTCCCAAGCGCGCTTAAGATTTAGGAAACCCCCAATCTCATTGATGTTTCTTCAAGAGCTTGCCATAAAAAAAGTCGGTCGATCTCTCTCTCTTTCTTTATCTATCTATCTTTCCAAACCCCGCGTTAAAATTCCAAGGAGGGGCACTGGAGAGTGGCAGGCCCGTTTTTAAGGGCAATTCGGGGGAGAATGGTGTCCCCAGTAATAATAGCTGCCCTTATCCTATGCCTGGCTTACTCGGTCTTCCTGAACCCAGTGGAACTAATTCCCCTCCCTCCCTCAAACAAACAAACAAACAAACAAACAAAGATGCCCAGGTCATGTCTTGAAGATGTAGGTATTTAGATCTCCATTTCTGAAGGATCTCACCATCTCCTCCAGCGGTTTAATTGTCCATCTTTCAAGTCTTGGAGGATCCTATTTGGTTTGGGTTAAAAGAAGGTTCCTCTCTCCCTCGAATCACATACAAAGGCGCGCGCCCTTATCTTCTCAACCACCATAAAATCTTCACCTTTGTCTATCTGAGAAAGATGTACAGGGTGTGTGTGTGTGTACTTGTCACCCAAATAGACTGATCCCCGTTGCAAAATGCGATTTTTCTTATTCTTTTTGTTTAAGTTGCTCCAAATAAAATATTTCATTTGTCTAGACTTGGGTCCCTCGTGGGCTTTGGAACCTGGGAGATCCGAGGCCTTTTGCCTCTGTGATGTATCACTCTCCTGAAACTTGCTTCTCTTGGAGCAAGGCCGTCCCATCTTCCTTGTGGCGCAGGAACTTTAATTTAGGATGGCGGCGTGATTTCAGTAACAGTAGTTGGGATTGTCTTTAGGATTCCTAGGTCTTTAAAAAACCCCCCCAAAAAACTCGGATGCTGCCTCAGATGGAAACTAACAGGCCTTCCTGCTCTCAATCCATGCATATATATATATATATAAACTGTCCTTGTGGCTCTTCGAATGACCCACACACTTCGCTGGTGGTGCATTTACGCATTTGTTTTGGGGGAGCTATTTTTGTTTTGTTTTGTTTTGTTTACAGATGACCTAGTGCGGGGAGTGTGGTTTTGGAGGGCCGTTCCGCTAAAGAAAGGGGAGAAGTTAGTAGTGCGCCTCGCGCGTTGGTATCAATCAAGCGTCCCTCCCTAGGGGTGGGGGAATCACAGCCAAGCGTTGCCTTGAGCCTTGGGCCTGGTACCGTATTTCTCCGGACAGAGACCCTCTTGGCCACTGGGTGCCCTTTTTTCTATTGCCTCCCGGATTGTGTCTGGCTTGTCTTCTCTGCTGGCGCCTTCAACTTTCGTTTTTCTCTCTCTCCCCACCCCTTTGGGGACAGGTCAAGATCTGGTTCCAAAACAAGCGCTCCAAATTCAAGAAACTGATGAAGCAAGGAGGGGCCGCTTTGGAAAGCAGCGCACTGGCCAACGGCAGGTCCCTGTCTGCCAGTTCCCCCCCAGTGCCCCCAGTTTGGAACACCACCTCGACGTCGGGTAAGACCTCCACTGGGACCCCGGCCACTTACATCCCCAGCTACACGTCTTGGTACCCTTCGGCCCACCAGGAAACTATGCAGCAGCCTCAGCTGATGTGATTGGGGTTTTTGGAGGGGGTTTTCTTTCGGGTTTGGTATTTCGTTCGTTTTTGGTTTTATTATTTTTTTATTTTTTAAATAATAATAAGAAAGAAAGAAAAAGTTGAACCAACAAGCCGATCTCCCCGTCGGCATCAACCAGAATACTTAAAAGAAAAAAGAGGAAAAAAATTACTAAACTCCCCACACAAACACGCGCTCGAACACTGTTGTTAGTTTGGGGAAAGCGCGCACGCACGACCCAAGGAGCCTGAGAAAAGGCGACGTGGGAAAAGGCGCCAGCCAAAAAAAAAAATTTTAAAAAGGAAAAAAGGACACGCCACGCGCGGACAGTCTTTGGGAAAGTCCTCCTGGGCGCAGCCGCTGCTGAGCTGCCGGGCGAGGCAGGCACAGATGCGACGCAGGGCTGGTTCCCAGTGCAGACAGCTGACGCGGCAGCCACGGATCGGCCCGAGAGCAGCCGGACAACAGCCTGCCAGCAGCGCCGGAAAAACCCTCGGCTTAGTTGGACAATCAGGAAAAAAAATATGAGAAGAATAATCTGTTTGTACCAGGAAGAGGGGCGGGGAGGAATCTATGTCCTCTTTCTTGTCTGTCTCTCGTGTCTGTTCTAATGAAATGTAGGTCATTCCCTTCATCTCCAGTCCTCTGGTCTCCGAAAAACGGAACACAAGTCGTCTTTCTTTCTTTCTCTTTCTTTTCTTTTCTTTCTTTCTCTTTCCTTCCTTCTTTTCTTTCCATTCCCCCCGCCACCTCCCCAAATGTTCGTTGTTAGTCCTTGGTGTATATTTTTTTTTCTTCTGTCGAAGGGGAAAGGGGGGATTTTTTTTGTTTAAATTATTATTATTTATTGACTTTGAAATCTACCACTATGAGAGTCCTAAGCATTTTTCTATAAAAAATAATAATAATAAACTTACGGGCAGATCTGGTTTGCAGAAGTGACGTTGTTTTCATGCTGTTTGTTTCAAAGTCGAAGACCTCGCACACATACAAGGGAGGAGATGCTCAGGCGCTCAGTTTAATTTTAATTTTAATCTGTGTGCATTCGCTTTTCTGTTTCGGGAAGGTGTGGGGCAGACCGGAACCGGAGCATTCGAGCATTCACACGTGCATTTATGGAGAGATCTATTCCCCCACCCGCTTAACGCACATCTCACGTTAATTATAACAGAGAGAGAGAATAAAAAAAAAGGGGGGGAGAGAAATAAAGCAAGGTAGTTTGCTTTGGAAGCAGAGTCAGGCCAAGGCGTTGTTTTCTTTGCTTTTAGCGAAGTAACCGTGCCAGTGTAAAGGCAGCTCCCTTTAATGAGCCATTCGGACTAGAGGCCAATTGGGCTTCGCAGCTTTAAATCTCAATTTCTTAACGCCACGGAATTATCAATGTGAAATCTCCCTGCGCCTATTTTCAAGTGCAACATTTGGTCGCTATACTTTAAAATAATAATAATAATAATATTGTCCTCTGAACACGTTGCACAAAAACTAGCTTTTTTATTGTTTTGGGTTCTTTCTCCCACCCACCCCGCATTTTTTTTTTTATTTAAACCGGGCGTGCCTACAATATATGATACTTTGTGAAAGCTGAGATTTTTGGAGATTTTGCCTGTGGACAAAAAACCAAACCAAACCACCCTCTCTGGCGCTCTATGTCGGAAGATGCGATACTAGCCTTGGGATTCCGCGCTGTTGCTTTAGTGGTCTAAAATGTCAATGTTTAGTTTTGCATTGAGGATATTAACTTATTTCATTTTTTCATATGGGGTGGGGGAACAAACAACAAAAAAGGATGAACACACACACAAGCCCACCCAACGCCGCCCTGATTCAGCCACCGTCCTGGCTCTGCCCTAAAAATATTTGCACACATAATATGATGAAAAGTTTCTTTTGATACTGTGAAATTATGTTTTGGAAGGGGGGGGGAGCCCGTGCCATGTTTCCTGCCGGGGGCAGAGTATAAAGGGACACGGGGACTTTAGGTCATCCTATCCGTAGTCGTGAAAAAACGAAGAAAAAGGCAGTTGACTGATTGGAAACGTGACCTGCGGTGGAAAGAATCATTTGTAACTTGGCTTGTTATGATGCGCGCAAGGGTTAAAAGGAAGAAACCGCATGATCTTTAATGCTCAGTCCCTAACGAGGCATTGTGAGTGTGTGGAATGAAATCAAGGGTGAGTTGTGCGCTCAGGATCCTGGTTCCTGTATCCAGTCCGGATGCGCTACGGTGGTCGGATGGAAACAAACCACCTTAAATGCGCGACGGAAACGCTCAGTTCTGAAGTGAGAAGCCCGGGCCGGATCTTCTGCAGGGCATTAAGGGAGGCTCTCTTGCAAATGGAAACGCAGGGCGCAGGGGCGACGCAGCGCAGCAGTGCGCGTGCATGTGTGCATGGGGTAAGAAGCCCAGACCTAATCTGGGCTGCGATCTACTACAACGCTTTTCCTTTGCTTGTTCCCTAACTCCCACTACGATCCTGAATTTACGGTTGCTTTTATAAATAACTCTCCAGCGAACTAAGGGCTGAAATATGGAGAGACTTTCCTCCCAGGCAGCTTTCCAGGCAAGGTGCTATGTTTAATTCCATCCTACCCGATCGCCTTTTCCTTTACGGGGGCGGTGAGGGGGCATGTAGTGAGTGCGCGCTTGCGGTAGGTTTCTTTTCAGGAGGAAGAACAGGTGCTAGCTAGGGAAAAGGTTTGCGGTTGCCTTCTTAGAGCAAAGCAAGAGGAACTGGGGTGGAGGGGGGGGTGGAATGGGCAAAAAAATACGGGCTTGCCGCTGGTTTCAGAGGCACCGAGGTCTAGGATCTGAGGTCCTGCGGGATTACAAAAGGAAGAGAGATCCTGATGTTTACCACCGCAAATAGCGCTTTATTATTATTATTATTATTATTATTATTATTATTATTATTATAGCGTATGGCTCGAGACAGCTTGGAGCATACGTGTGTGTGTGTGTGTGCGCGCGTGTGGTGCAGCTTTCCGCCCCCTCTTGCTGCCCTCAGTTTTAGCTCTCTCTTTTTTTATTCCTCCCCCCCAAACAAACCCAAAGACGCGCCGCCACTTGTCACTACCTCCCTGCGCCGTTTCGTCAAGCTCAAACTTTTCAGCGGAGGAAATTGGCAGCTACACGCGTTTCCAGCCCTAAAACACGATGCCGCCTCTCTCTATTAAGCATCCCGGAGGCTGGGACCGGCTCCAGCGGAGCCTTCCCCTCGGGGACGCGCATCTGTTTGGACAGCAGTTCTTGGGAAGGGAAGGAGAACCTGGAAGAAAGGAGATTGGGGGCGGGGCGGGGAGAGAAAGATATCTATGGGCATCGCACATGTATGTGTGTATGTAGGCAAGCATGCACGGGAGGGTGCCAAACTGGGTCTTTGACCTGGGTAACAGAAAGCCTAGTTTCGCCATTGCAAATGCGCCTGTGCAAGAAAAGAAAACTGAGTTTGGGGTGGAGGGCAGCGAGGAAGGCGAGGGATTGAGGAAAGCGGTGGATCACCGTTTGGGGGGTTGTTTTTACTGTCTTTCTCTATGGGTGGTCTCTCTGTGTGTGAGAGATCAGGGGAGGGGATGGCTTAGGAAACTTTGGGCGCCTTGCACATGCTTTTGCGCCTTGCGCATGGTTTTGGAAGATCAAAGCGCCACCGCTTTTGGAGAAGAACATCTCTCTCTCTCTCTCTCTCTCTCTCTGTGTGTGTGTGTGTGTTGGTTCCTTCTAAGCTCATCAGGACAAGACAAAATTCAAGAGATATTTCTGAGGCACACCACCGAAGTCTCTGAAGGATGCATTATGCCTCGACTCCCGCCCACCCCACATCCTCCGCTTAGTTATGATTAAAAATGTATAAACAACCAACCCACATAAGCCTTCAGATTCATCACCCCAGAGCCTATTTCCCCATTGCAGGGAACTAAAGCGGAGTTTGCGGACCGGCACGTGGGGCCTGCCGTAGTTTCGTACCTCGGGGCAAATGGCAAGTGAGATGCGTCACTCGGGCAAACTCCGCCGGCAAAGTTCAGTATGTCCTACCAAGCGGGCGGAGGAAAGCAGGCAAAAAGAAAGATTAAAACTAGATAGATCACCGCTGGGATCAGGACCCAGATCCCAGAGCCAGGGCTTTCCCGCTGCCTTGGCAAGATCATCTTTGCTCTGTATTTCCGAGACAGAGAAGGAAGTTCCTTCTCTCTTTCGCTCCCCCCCACCCTTTCCTCCATCCGCTTGCAAGTTCCCTATGGGGTGAGTGGGTGGGGAGAGGAGGAGGCAAAAGTGGGTGGGTGTTGCAGGGGTGGGGGAGTAGGTTTCCGGGGGGCTGCTGGAGGAGGAAGCGAATGATAAATTGTATCGATTTTTGTTTTGACACGCACCCATTTTTCAATTCTGGGCGATGAGTGATCAAATGATGCGGCCCTCTCTGGCTAATGTACTTGGAAGAGAGATGGAAAGCGGGAGGGAGATAAGGCACCATAGTGCGGTGTGTGATTGTGTGTGTGTGTGTGGTGGGGGGGTGGACGGACGGGGGTGGGAAGGCAGCAGAAGGAACTGAAGCAGCTTGGAGGAGAGAGAGAGAGAGACAAGCCAGGCCGTGGGAGAATCCCAGCCCGCCGGATTCCCCGGGGAAGAAAGAGAGAAGCTGCCCGCAGGGGCTTCCTGAAACCTCATTGACTGGTTTCCTAGATCCCCCCGAAGACAAAATCTGGCCGCCACCCGGTGGTTAGCAGAGACGCTTGAACCACACATGCCGAAGCCGGTGGTGGCCGCTTTGCGCGCGCCCCTCCACTTCCCCTCCCGGAGAAAGCCTGACGCCTAATCCAGAGGCCCCTGTCTGAACGCGAGAGCGAATGATTCGGAAAACAAAACCGAAATCCAACCGCGATGGTCAAGCAAACTTCTGGCTGGGTTGCTCTCCGATGCTGCGGCTCCTCTTAATTCAATCAAGGTCTTGCTAAACCGTCCAAATGGAGAAATTATTAGTTTTCTCCCAACGAAGGCGGGCTCGAGTTAGCGCCTATTATAACTGTACATTTGCAAATGTTAATCTCACCACAGACCTAATTAATTCTGCCTTGTTACTGACAAGCAGTTCATCAAATATCTGATTCGAAGATGTTCGTAATGAGGATATTAATTAAATTCTGAATCATCCGAAAGGGCTTCTATTGAAACAATACCTCATTACAATGATTAAAAACTGATTTCGAATATTACGCCTTTCCCACCGTTCTCTCTCTCTCTGCAAACACAGAACCCTCCCGGAAAAATCTGCCCATGGCAAAAAAATATAAAATATAAAAATGAATTACAAAATGTGCAATTTAGGGATATGCATTTTCCCCATTTTGGGGTGGGGTGGGGGTTGAGGAAAGGAAGCGCCAGCCCCTCATTTCCCAACACTTCTGCAATAGGTTACACGCAGCTTAATGATAATCAAAATGACTTTTCCCCCCCTCTCCCCCCCCAGCTAAAAAAGACCCCAAAGTGCGCGTACAGCTGCAAAACCCAAGAGGGTCAGCATCATTTCACTGTATTCTCTTCTTGATTACAAGCCGAGCCCATCAAACACAACATAATTACAGTAATTTCAGGTTTATTTATTCTAATGCAGTTTCCCCATCTCTCTGGTAATTATGAGCAATTTTTTCGCCCAGGGAATCTTTTTGCATTAACAAAAGAGATAACGCACTGAAAGCCAAATTTGCTGTGCATTGAGAATGGGGAAGAAGAAGAAGGGAGGAGAGAGAGAGAGAGTGAGACAGAAAGAAATAAAATAGGTGCGGAGAGAGCTGCCATCCCTTCCCGCTCCATTCTCTGCTCTGCAGAGTGGAGCGCAGCAAATTGCCTGCAGGTGTGCGGAGCCCGGGCTGTCAAAGGGGGGGGGGTTTAAAAAAAAAAAAGAGCGGACTTCCAAATTAGCAAATGCACAGTGTTGAAGTAATGAAGACCGACTTAGCAAAATTGCCAAATAACAGATACCTCTTTAATATGTCCTGCTTTAAAAAAATAAAAAAATCTTCATACACACACACTCCCCCATCCCCATATCCACCCACAACTCTTTCGTATTAAAGAACCCCCTCAATAGCTGGGGACTTGTCAGTCTCCCACAGCAAAGCCCAGCTGCATCTTTGCATTTTCAATCAGTCCAACATATAAATCCCATCCAGATTACATCCATCTGCCTTCTTCCCATTCTTTCTCTCTCTCTCTCTTTCTATATATTTCCAGCACACGCAACACACGCGTTTCCCACTCGCGTATGACCAAAGGAAATTCTCAACTTGTCCCTGCAGACGATTTAGCCATCGTCTTTCACCCGTGAGCAGATTCTTAGAAGGGGGTGCTGTGCGAAGTCCCCCCCCACCTCCTCTTGAACCCGTCTGCACCTACCCACATGCAAACCTTGGGTATGCCCAAGTAAATGTTACAGGAGAGAAAGCTCTTTAAATCAGTGCAAATGATCAAAGGAGGGAGGGAGAGAGAGAGAGAGAGAAAGAGAGAGCAATCAAGGAACGGGGCGACGGGAAACGGGGGGTGGGGGCTTCCTTGTTCCTATCTATGCTCAACTTTACTTCTTGTCCTCTTTTTGCTGTTAAAAGCAGGCAGGTGAAAGGGAAGTGCTGGGGGCCGTATGGTTGGAAATGGAGGCCCCCCACCCTTCTCCAATGTCAGCCTCTCTCGGTGGCTGCGCGCTCCACACCGTCACGCTTGTTCTCCACGGATAGCCACTGCCTCTCTCTTGTTACCTATACAGCTTTACTTCCAGAACGGAGACACAAACCAAAAGGTGGATCCGGGACATATATATATAAATATATATATATTCAACAACTCGCAGAGTCCTCGAAGTCCAGCGCGCGCCCCTCCCCGTCTTTACCTTCGTATACTATATAAACCTTCAGGGATCGAGCACCCCTTTCTCTCCCCGCGCCACTCCTCCCCACCCGTCCTCATGCAACACACACACACACACACACACACACACACACACAATAATCTTGACACAACTGACAATAAGTTTTGGATGAAGAATTGGTTGATGCGCCACCAGCTCCTGCGCCTTATCTCCTATCCCGGAGCTGGGAATGTGGAGAGGCAGGATGCATCCATGAAAGTGGGGGTTGTTGTGTGGCGGGGGGTGGAAAGAGGAAAAAGAAAAGAACTGAAAATAAAATAAAAAAATAAAAAAGAGGGAAGCCGTGTTATCCCCCGTCCGGCCCCGTCCCGCCGCGCCCCCCAACCACACTTAACTTACCTTCGGTGTCAATTTTCCTGCAATCCCCATTCGCTTTTGCTTTATTGCAAAATGTTGGAACCAGCACGTTGGTAGGAAAAAGTTGAGGGGAAGAGGTGAATAGAGGGGTCGGGGTTAGGTTGGGGAGGCTGGGGGGGGGGGAGAGCCTCGCCACAAGAATAAATATCCAAAGGACTCCCCAAAAATGTGGGCTTGAGGTCCCTGGGAACCGAAACTCAGCCTCTGAGCGCAGGAGGATTTTTCGCAGCCCTCCTCTTGCAGAATATCACTGAAATTTTCTGCTATATAGCCTCTGTCTTTATAGCTGATGGGAAAAAAATTGCAGATTATTAGCATAAATGTTTACTCTTCATTACGCTGATGACATTGTGCACTCGAGATCTTGGTAATCTTTGGGAAAATTATGAGTAATTTTTAAAAATTTTAAAGCAGCAGCAGTTACCGTGCAATTCAGGCTAATTCTGCGTAGGCTCCGAACGGATATAATTATCGAGGAGTCAAGATGTTATGCTAAAAACTATGCATTGATATTCCCATTTATTATGTACATACAACTTTGACAATGTTGATGCTTGAAATAGCAGGAAATTGTCTTGCGCAAAAATTACAGTCCATATTAGGACATGTGAAATTGCGAAGAATTATATAGTAATTGCAGGCTTTCAGATGGGAGAGCCAGAATGCTCAAACTAGTGCAAATGTGGATAAAATTACAGATCAGAGCAAAAATTAGGGGAAAAGGGGGTCTGGGATTTTTCAAGTTGGCTATAGGATTCCGGAAGTGTCTAATGCCACATGATTGCTACAGCTTTAGGGGAGATATTCATGCCTCAAATAGCTCTTTGGCCAGAGCTGCTTTAATTGGATTTCTTGGGTGTTCTTTTCACCCCCCCCACCCCCTTTAAATAGGGCCAAATGAGCAAATCGCCTGCCCAGTGGCATTTTTTTAAAAACCCCAAGCCCTCCCCCCCCCCGACCATCAACTCTCCTCCCCCCCAGCCCAAGACACAGAGGGAGCTTATTCCCTTCGCTCAGGTTGCGTTCCAGGGTGACACCCCCATTGGAAAAAAGGTGGGTGGGTGGGGGTTTAATTACACAACGCCACCCTGCGCTTTCACCATTCTTTCCCCCATCTACTCTCCCTGCCCACCCCCCAGGGGTGATGCAAGCACTAGGTGCTCTGACAAGCAGCAGGAGAGGGAGGAAGGGTCTTGGGGGGGGGACACGACCGAGAAACCGAGCCGTTGTCCCTGAGGAAGTGGGGTGCAGCTGAAATTAAGGGGAACTGATGGGGGGGTCAGGGTGAACCACCAGGCAGCCGCGATTGTTCTGGAGAAGGAAGGGTGGGGTTATTTGTGTAACTGAACTAACCAGTCATCGCTACCACCCATCCTGTCCGCTTTTACCAGGGAGGCAGAGGGTTGCGGGGTGGGGTGGAGGAAAAGAAGCTCTCTCTCTCTCTCCCCCACACCCCCCCTCTCCTGTGATGTGGCCATGTGAGATTCCCTCCCGCCCCAAACCCAGGCGAAATCTTAAAGACAAATAAACGCAGCAACAAGGCTAAAGGTCTGAAAGGGGATCGTTGTTGCTTAAGGCATCTCTCTCCATCCCCAACCCACCCCGTCTCTTTCTCTCCCCTGCTGGATTCCAAAAGGTTACCAAAAGGAGGGAAAGAAATGTGTGGTGGAGAGAACCTTTGGGTGTGAAGGGGATATTCATGCTGCCCCACTCCCACCCGGGACAATATGCACGTGTTTTGGAGTCAATAACAACAATAATGATAATATTTAATAATTTTATTATTTATACCCCGCCCATCTGGCTGGGTCTTCAGGATCAGAACGACAATACAGTAATAACAATGGCAAAGGAGAGATGGACGACTTTGATCCTAGAGCACATTCGTCTCCAAGCAGGGTGCGCCCTGAGGAACACGTATTTTGTGTGTGTGTGTGTGTGTACATACATATGCATGCATATACATATATACAGATATCTATATATATCTGGAAACGCCAGCCGGGTCCTGTCTTCCCAGCTGCGATCTCCCTCGACTCTGCGTCTCCGTTCAAGCAGGACAGCTTAAACGGTGGGTCCCACCTCCATTTTATTTTAAAGCCCCAGGGAGGAACGTGATGCCTTGCAATCTACCAATCGCGGCCAGAAACATTCCCGGTTATGTACACCTTAATTCTCGAGGCGTCGGACCTCTGTCGCTTCCTGGATTCTGAGGCCGCCTGATGAGAGATGCAACCAACTCCTGCTTGATCCTTTTTCATCTAAGCGCTGAAATGCAACATGCACGCATTCAGCTCTAAATAATCATCACGATATCCCCGTCCTGTTAGTGTGATGAGATGCAGTGTTGCAAAATACGATTGTTGTGGGTCCCCCCCCCCACCACCACCGGGCCACAGGTGCAGTCACTTGTCTCATATTTGCACTCACCGACCAACCCTAAGATAGGTACCATTCAGCCACCAGATACGTCTGTAGCTGCATCCAAACCTGCCCCTGGACCATAAATTATAACGGTATTTTGTTGGTGATTAAACGCATACGGAAAATATGCAGCCTGGCTAAATCTGATACGTCTCCAGTTGGTGTAGGCTCCTTGCCATCCGAAGTCAGGATCAGTTTCACGCAGAAACCAGTGGAGCTCCGTTCGTCCAGCTGACAATAGACGGAGCTATTTCGTCCTCGATCGGAAGTTTATTCTTAATCAGAAGACTACCACTCGGGTGTCTGCTTGCAACAGTAATAAACGATGGCAAGGGGCTGTTGTTTCCCTTCGTTTCCAAGCATGTTGGAATTTCACCAAAATACTGAACTGCCTGGAGAGACAGAAGGTGTATCAGTACACCAAACAAACAAAACTCCTGTGTTGCAAGAGATTATGGGGAAGCCTTCAAAAAAACGCCTCCTCCAACGCACGTTGTGTGTTTGAAGAGATTTTATTACGTATTTATTGGAGAGATTTTATTTGTAAAAACATGCGAGTTTCTTCCAAATTGAGGCCGAGGACCCACGTGCTTGGGGCTCCCCATTTCGACAAGTTGCAAAATAGGATTTGGTAAGCCTAACTGGGCATGTTTTTCCAAACCAAAAAAACCCCAAACCCTATTTGCAGGAAGCTGGGAAATATAGTTACAGACGCGTATTATCACTAATTATGCCAAATTATGCTCCATATACCGACGGAAGCCGGCCAGCCAACCTTAAGATATATATGTTGGAAGCCGCCCAGAGTGGCTGGGGCAACCCAGTCAGATGGGCGGGTACCATTATCATTATTATTGGGCTGGTACCATAACCATCATTATTCCCCTTCCCAGTTTTCTCCTTAAATCGGCTGTGCCTGTATGTATGTGCGTGTCTCGTGTGAATCCCTTGCCCACGGCCTGCGCGCGCTAACTGTCCACACACGCCGCGATTACTTCGGAGTAGCCCCCATTCAGCCCAGTGGCGGCTTTCTTCCTCCGTGGTAAACGGGCGCAGGAAAAGTCCGAGCCGCGTTAAGGCCGCCGGAAACATCCCGCTCGTAATCTGACCGCCGTGCCCAACGGCGACATGATGGCTGCCCTCCCCGCCTGGCGCCTCATGGCCGCGGGGCCAGAATCTTGGCTCTTCTTCCGCCACGGTCGTCGTGGGTTGGTCGGTCCGCCCTGGGACTCGCGGGGAAGGGTGTCGGCTCCACTAGTTCCACGTCGTCGGCTTCCCTTTCCCATTTTTTGCCGTCGCTGGAAGGAAGGAGAGCGGGGTCGCCACAGAGACAGGCCGCGGGGGGGGGGGGGGCGGCGGCGGCCTTGACAGGCCTCCGTTGTCTCTGAGGGTGCGCGAGTCTGTGGGAAACGTCTCCCTGCGCCGCGCCGGAGGCGGCTGTGGAGACACGAGCAGGCCCCGCCTCCCCGCCGCGGCTTCCTCCCTCCCCGCCGCCCCACAAGCGCCGCTGCCCTTCTTCACCCCACGATCTCCTCTCCTGCCCCGCACCCTATATGTCTTCTTCCCACTCGCTTTGTTCCTTGCTTTGCCGTCTTCAAGCGGGAAGGGCCTTGCTCCGCACGCGACGGCCCCCCCAACAATACATTTTCCCGCCTTTTTGCCCCGCTCTCCTCCCTTTGCCCGTCCTCTTTCAAGGGGAAGGCGATTGAGGATGGATTTTTATTAGGGGCGAGTTTTTGTTGGGTGGGCAGAATCTCAAATTTGCACTGATTCAGGGGGAGCAATTGTCCCCCCCTCCGCCTACGCCCATGGTTTACGGCTGCGGCGCAGTGGCTTGAGAGAATTTAGGCCCGTTGAAGAGCCCAGGCCCCCTTCGTTGCCCGCCACGAACTGACAGAAAAAAACGGCTCCTTTTCCTCATCTTTGAACCGCAGCGTGTGGGGAATGATAAAATGTCCCGGCTTGCAGGGTTGCTGTGAAGATGGCTGCCGGACATTGTAGCCAACTCCTAGGGGCCGAAGCCCCTTCCGCCGCCCACCCCTCAATAAAATATTTGAGGGCCGTCGGGCTCCCACCAAAGCTGATGGGGCGAAAGGCATGAGTGCGTCCCGTCATAACTACGTGGAGCGGGGCTTACCAGGGCCTGTCGGCCGCCCCCCACCCCAGTATCTTATTCAAGTTGGCTGATCATGTATATGCGACAGGTTTCCCTCCCCTCATTTTGGTTTTCAGAGAACAATTATCGCAGAACAGGATTTGTGGGGGCAAAGCGTCCCCCCAGCCTCAGCGCTTGGGTTTCGCCCGCCTATCTGTGTCCGCCCCACCCCCACCCCGACCCGCCTTTTTCGTGCCAAGGCCCGTTGCGTGATTCCCTCTCAGGCTGCACATTCCCCGCCTCGGGCGCTTCGAGGGTTTAGGCCCCTTAATCATCCTGTCTGTTTGGCAGCCGCATTCGTCTCCTTTCTCTCCCTCCCTCTCACACGGAAGGAGCGAGCGAGAGAGAGGCCTGGCCTGCTCCAACTCCCGCGCTCTCCGCGCCGCTGCCAGAGAACAAGGAGAGCCACACATTCTCCTCGAGCGGAAAGGTCGCCGCCCCTGGGCCTGGCAGCCCCGAGCTTGCCAGGCCCGGCCTGTTGCCACCTCGCCAGTCGCTTTCTGGGCCAAGAGGCCCTGTCAGGGCACCCGCCCGCCTCACGCAACAGGCGCACGCGCACTCCGGCAGCGAAAACCAGAATCCCCTGGGGCGCACAAGGCCTACCGTGGGTCCAACCCCACCAGCGAGAGGAAGGGAAATGGTGGCCCTTTCCATCTTCCTACCAACACTGTTGGGGTTTTTTTGGACGCATAGGAAGGGGGAAACTGTCCAGCAGAGGAAATGAGATGGGGCAGAGGAATAGGGGACTCTTTACTGTGGAAAACACCTCTATTATTATTTCAATTTATATACACTACCCTTCATCAAAAGATCCCAGGGAGGTGTCCAACATTAGAAACACATAACAGAGCATCCATAATAAAACATAATAAAAAGCATAAAGGTAAAGGTACCCCTACCCGTACGGGCCAGTCGTGTCCGACTCTAGGGTTGTACGCCCATCTCGCTCAAGAGGCCGGGAGCCGGCGCCGTCTGAAGACACTTGGGGCACGTGGCCAGCGTGATGAAGCTGCTCTGGCGAGCCAGCACCAGTGCCGCACACGGAAACGCCATTTACCTTCCCGCTATAAAGCGGTACCTATTTATCTACTTGCACTTGGGGGTGCTTTCGAACTGCTAGGTGGGCAGGAGCAGGGACCAAATGATGGGAGCTCACCCCCGCCGCGGGGATTCGAACCGCCAACCATGCAATCGGCAAGTCCTAGGCACTGAGGTTTTACCCACAGCACTACCCGCGTCACCAATAAAAAGCATACTGACAGACAAAATAACAGCTGCCTCCCCGCTCCCACACAGTTTCACAGGCCATAGGCCTGGGTAAAGAGGATGTTTTTTGCCTGGTGCCTAAATACATGTAAGGATGGCACCAGGTGAGGCTCTCTGCGGAGAGCTTTCCTCAGTTTGGGAGCCACCACAGACAAGGCCTTATCCTCACTGCTGATCACTGCTTAATACAGTAGTACCTCGGGTTAAGAACTTAATTCGTTCTGGAGGTCCGTTCTTAACCTGAAATTGTTCTTAACCTGAGGTACTACTTTAGCTAATGGGGCCTTCTGCTGCCGCCGCGCCACTGCTGCACGATTTCTGTTCTCATCCTGAAGCAAAGTTCTTAACCTGAGGTGCTATTTCTGGGTTGGTAGAGTCTGTAACCTGAAGCGTATGTAACCCGAGGTACCACTGTACACCTCCTAAGCAACAGCCTTCCTTGTTAGGTACAATAGCCTACACTGGGCATGATCCTTGCTGGCACAATTGTGAGTAGGGCCCCAAAGAACCTCAGTACTAATGGGAAAAAAGAACAGAAGAGACAGGCAGCCCCCTCTCCTTGAAGCCTGCTGTATTTCTTTTTACAGGTCACGTTGGGGTGGGAAAGCTCCAGATTTACACAAGGGGAAGAGAGAACCAAGAAGGGTGTGCATGTGTACATGCATCTAGTCCTTACATTAGGAAGGGGTGTTGAGGGCTTCCATGATCTAATGGACCTGCAATGGAATCACTGGGGCTACAAAAGCAATGTGGAATAATGAAATCAGTGTTATATCTATCATCTATCTATCTATCTATCTATCTATCATCTTTTGCATTTTATATACCATTCTTAAATACTAAAACGAATAAATAATATAGTGTAAAGTTGGGCCTGTGGGTGGGGTCCAGGAGGACAAGTCAATGTATTCGGGATTTGCAAGGTGGTAACGTCAAAAACAAACAACTGGCCTGTGACGAAGATGTCTTATGTTAGTCAGCAACTGAAAGCAACAGGAAGAAAGTTTGAAGCCCCTTCGGTGGTTAGCTGATTTAGCTTCATCAAAATCTTGAAGTGGGGGTTGCCCCTGCTGTGTAACAAACCAGCTAGTTTTGTGCCACTGCGTTTTTCTATTTCTTAGTCGGTCTTTGTGCTATTTTACTTTATTTTTAAATCACAATCAACAGAATATTGTGGACTCTTAAAGACTGACAGATTCATTGGGGCATAAGCCATAATAAATCTGCTGGCCTTTCAGGTGCCTCAATGCTCTTTTGTTGTTTTCTCCTTGCAAACGACTTAAAGCCCAACCCTAGCCATGTCTACTCAGAAGCATTTCCCATCGAATTCAAATACTTTTTCTCCCAGGTAATCAGGATTAGGAGGGTGGTGGCCTCCGTCCCTCTTTATGTATGTATGCTGAATTTTACTAAACCAAAAGGCTGGACTTTCTGCACTAGAAAAAAAAGTGACATTTGGTTCTCACACCCAGGAAGAACCTTTAAGGTGGGCTATAAGGACAACAGACGAACAAAATCACCTAAATGCATAAAATAACGTGTCGACAAAAATGTCAGCACCCTGAGTGCATATGTACGCAGGCGGTGTGCCAAAAAAAGGTGCCAAATAAATTTATAAACGTTAGCGCGATTTTTCGTGAAGTAGAGACATTCTTGGCCATTTACACAGGCTACCCAAGACGTTGTTCTCTGGGCGGCTGGCTAATCCCAGATCACGAACACTTCACCTTCAGAGGCGCACACACTGGTGCGCTTTTACGCACACGGGAAGAGCGCATTTGGAACCTTTCTTCCCTCTGCGCGCATAGTGAGTGTAGCGCGCCGTGGAACTTCGTGCCTGCCTTTTATCCGTTACCAACACTGCCCAGAAGAGGATCAGCCGCTCCGCCTTGCCGCCGCACTGCCTGGATCCTAACACGGGAAGCCGCCAGGAGCCTGTCCCGGACTCCCTAAATGTCTGTGGCGCCAGAGAGCGGCGGGGAGGGGCCGAGTCTAGGCGAGCCTGGAGGAGCGTGCTGAGTGATTCATGGCTGCGGCGGAGGCCAGGCTGCCCCCCGGCTCCTGTCTTCTTCTGGCTGAGGGGCTAGCAGCAGGGGCACCGCCAAGCCCCACAGAATGGGCTTGCCTCTCCACCCACACAACAATTCAAGGATGCTCCAGGTCAGTTGGTGCGTAACAAGTACCATGGCGGCAGCGACGGAAAACTGAGTAAGTCTCCCCAAAATAAGGCCCTTTGATGTGTTTTAGACCCGAGCAAAGTGGGAAACGGGGTCCTGGCGGGGAAGAAGGCCGTTTTCTTAACGGAATAAACCTGCATCGGGTCTAGCATACAGTCTTGGGTAAGGGTAGGAAGAAATAAAATGGACCACCCTCAGCGTGGATGTTAGGGATAGTGGGGCGTCACTCCAGAGTCTCCTGTAGGCTGGTATCCCGTACCCACTTACCTGGGGGGAAAGCCCACTGATGTAAACGGGACTTCTGAGCAGACACGTGTAGGCTTGCGCTACTAGTGAATATGTAGGTGTCAGAAGTGGAGGGGGGGAATAATATCGAAGGCCGAACAAACTCCGGTGCAAACAATAATTTATTTAAATAATCTCTTCATAGTGTAAAAGTAACATCGAGAGATTTTGTTTTGTTTTTGTAATAAATAACCAAGAAAATACCTTTTTATGTTTTAAAGGTTTTAACGACGAACTAGGAAAAATTCAGTAGCTTATTCTTTTTGACAGCGAAGAGAAAAAGTATCAAACAGAATAATTAAAGGATATGGAAACTGCTCAGAGAGAAACAGGATGACGTTATGGCATTAACAGATCTTGGTTTACAAACATAAACAAATACAGGCTGTCCAATGCAACTCTTCACCCCTCTCTATTTATTTTTTTACACCAAGAAGCCAAGGAGGGGAGAAATCAGCACAAAACAGCGTTATTACAAACATATTTTTTCCTCGTGAAAAAAAAGTCCTGCAAACATTAAAAAAAGATAATTTAAACACAGCTGGGTTCTTTTTAATTTTAAATATCTACATATAAAAATTATTTAATCTTTTTTCCCCCAACATCAAAATGAGGTCATCTGCAAAGGCACCTATAAAAAGTTTACAAAAATAATAATAAAAATTAAATAAGAAATTCTGCACTGGCGATTGGATGCGAAATGGGAGAAGGGTGAATTTTCCCCTCCCGCATTTGAAGAATAGAAGGTAGGTTAAAAAAAAGAGAAGGGGATATATCAAAGAATAGATGGAGCGGATGGGAGGGAAATAACCTTAAAATCTGTAGAGACTTTTTGAGCGAGTTTGTGAGCACAGCTTTACCCGGATTCCATGGTGGCCAATGGGAATGTTGCCAGCGACTTCAAAGACACCTACTGGATTAGGGGGTGTTCTGATTTGAAGTGTGTGCGGGAGGATAACCACAGGCCCTGATTCGGTCCAAACTTCAGGGAAGGCTCTCATCTCCCAGCTGGGTATGTAAGAAGCACCACCTGGGAAGGACCAGCGTCGGAGTAACTCCGGAGTGGGTAGCAGCGGGGCGGGCGGGTTGGGAGCAGCTCGGTTCTCCAACGAAGCACCCACCCGGGTATGTACCTCTCTATCCTTTGGGGACAGGAGCGCGGAGTGAACAGGGCTCCCCCTCCTCCTCCAACTCCACTTGGGGGAGCTGGGTTGCGCGCGGCAAACGCGCGGGCGGGTTAGAAAATCGTCCCTGCGCTGACGGCAGCGCCGTGGTGGTGGTGGTGGTGGAGGTGCGGGTGGTGTTGGTGAGGCTGCGCTTGCTGCAGGATCGGGGAGGCGGCTTGCAAGTGGGAAGCAGCGGCGCTCGACGCCTGGTGGTACCACGAGTAGTTGCCCAGGAAAGCAGCCGTCGCGCCCGGGGCGCCGGGGCTGGATCCAGCGCTACTCCCGCCGCCTCCGCCCCCGCTGCTCATCCGCTGCGGGTGCGGCGCGAAGTCCCAGGCTAGCGTGGTGGACGCCGGAGACGCCGCCGAGCAAGGCGGGGAGCTGCTGCCGCCCGGGTGCTGGTCGGCGGGGATCTCGCCGCTTTTCCACATCTTCTTGAACTTGGAACGGCGGTTCTGGAACCAGATCTTCACCTGGACAAAGGGAGGAGGAGCAGGAAGAGAGACGAGAGTGTGAGAGAGGCCCCTCTCACCAAATTTTTGCGGTCACCAGAGAGCAATATTTCAATCTCCCCTTCAACAATTCCCTTCAAGTTTCCCCAAAACACACACACACACACACACACACACACACACCCACACCCACCCCTTGTTTAATTTAACTGGAGGAGCCCTTCTCCCAAAGCAGACCCCTCACAGAGAGAAGAAAAGGAGACCGCTGTCTCCAAAAGCAGGCTGGCGGATTCCCCCTATCGCAGACTGCTAGGAAAACGAGCAAATCAACCGACTGTTTCGGTGTGAGGTTTGGTTTGGCAACGTGGGAGGGAGAGAGCGGTTTTTAAATAACAGGCTAAACAGTTTTACTGGGTTTTGCTGAGTTTTCAGGCTGCGCGTGTGAGAAGAGGGACACTTGTGTTGTGTTGGTCTTTGTAACCACAGATGTTGTCTCGTGTGTGTGTGTGTGTGTCCCTCCTGATGTGTGCGTTTACAGGTAGGGATTTCTGATTTGAGCCGTTCTCAGAAGTCCCCCCCCCAAGTATGTTAGATGCCTTTTAAAATGGCATTATTTTGTTTCCCCTAGTTTCATTCCCGCCCGGTCTCCAGATACTGTGTCTTCCTTTCTTAAATGTGCACTAACAGCCTTTGAGAAAGTGAGGCTCGGTGTGCTCTTAGCACTGCGTTGCTTATCCAGATCGAAAGGAGGTTTAAATAACGCTGAATAACTTTGCTTACTGAAAGATGCCAGCTAAAGAGAGGGGGGGAAGGGTGACTTTTCTTCCGCGTGTACAATGAAACAGGATACTTCGTGAAATGAGTGTGTTGGAGACAGAGAGGCTAACAGCTAAACCCAGAAGCAAAGAGGCGCACTTAATCAATGCGCTCCTAAACTCTGTGCTGCAGAAAGGAGGATTCTGCCCTATGATCCCGTTCAAGTCACATTAATTCTTCCACTGGAAACAAAGACATGCTTAAATCTTCCCCCACTGCGATCGACGGGGCTGAAAAATGTTTAACTGTGTCAAGATCCCACACATACGTTTGAAACAGAATTATTTCGCATGTTGAAGCTTCTGCCGCACCGCCCAAGCGTGGTCTGTCTGAGCAAGGCTGCGCGGCTACAGGTGGTCTATATTGTACAGGCCACCCGCTTTTCTGCGTTCACGAAGGGCAACACTACCAACAACAATAAGAGGGTGGGCACTTCTGCATGGATGAACCTCCTCTGAAAAAAACACCTTCCGGACTGCCGCTAGCAAAAAACGGCTGGAATAGTCGCTATGCAATAAACTAGCCAACGTGGAGTCGGAGTGCAAGCCGCTTCTGAGCCTTCTTTCCTTACCTGAGTTTGCGTGAGGCCTAGGGATGCCGCCAGCTCGGCTCTCTCGGGCAGGGCCAGATACTGGGTCTTCTGGAAGCGCCGCTGCAGAGCCGCCAGCTGGAAGCTGGAGTAGATCGTCCTGGGCTTGCGCACTTTCTTGGGTTTGCCGTTGACTATCCGTATCTCGGGCTCGCCTTCTTCTTTCTCGGCTGCAAGGGAAGGGAAAGCACCGTGAATAACGAGGCACCCCCAGCGGCATCACCCACCAGCGCCACATGCCAACCTCTCCTGGGTGGCGGGTCATTATAGCTTCGCCTCCCACAAGCAGCTATGTTCAGCATGGCTTCCCGCACTCGTCTAACCTTGGAGAGAGCAGGCGCGCAACGAAGAGAGAGAAAGAGCGCTCCTACTGCCAGGATACCTTCCAACCCAACCAGTTTATTATTATTATTATTATTATTATTATTATTATTATTATTAACCAACCACGTGCTGCTCCTCTTCTGCGTGTGTCCGGCGGAGAAGTCAGCGCAGGGCGCCACACTTTCCCAAGCAAATTTTCCACCGCCCCCTCAACCTTCCTGGAAGGAGTTGGTTCTTACCAGGATCGTTGCTGACCGGGGACGTCCTTGCCCCGTAGGCTGCATAGGAGCTGTAAGAGGCCGAGTACCCCAGGTCGTAGCTGCCGGCTTTGGTGGAGTAAGGCACCGCGCTGATCCCGCTCGGGTGGTACTGGTAGGAGCCCATCTGCGCGTACGGGGACCCGCTGCCCGCGTTGCTCCCGGCGCTTCCTCCTCCTCCTCCTCCTCCGTGGTGCTGTTGCTGGTTGGTGTAGTAGCTGCTGTCCGTGGCGGTGGACACAGGCAACGTGGGAGACTCCTGGGGTTTGTGTAAGCTGTGGTGGTGTTGTTGCTGCTGCTGCTGGTGATGGTAACTGCTGGAGGTAATCTGGTTGGAATGCATATCTGAGGCGAGGCTGTCAAAGACCCCCGTCATCCTGATCCTCTCTCCCCGCCCCTTGCTCCCTCCCTCCCTCGTTCCGAGGATGCAGGAGGGCAAACCAACAGCGGGGAGGGGGACCACGAGAGAGAGAGAGAGAGAGAGAAAGAGAAAGAGAGAGAGAGAAGGAAAAAGCAGGTCTCCTCTTTGGCAACAGGGCGCGCGTGGAAAAGTTACAACGCGCCTCTCTTTCTTTCTTTTCTTTCTTTCTCTCTCTCTCTCTCTCTCTCTCTCTCTCTCTTTCCTCACACACTCGGGGGTTCGCCTTCTTGAAGCAGACTGGAAACCCCAAGCCCAAGAAAAGAGATCACTGCTGGGGATCCCTTTGCACCCGAGGAAGCGGGCAGGAGGCCGCCGCTGCCATCGCCTCTCCAAAGCGCCAGGGCGCGTTTGCGCGCACAAGACTTTCCCCCCCGTGCGCGCTGCAAGCAGCAGCAGCAGCAACAGCAGCAGCAGCAGCAGCAACGCCTCCGCTTCTGCAGCTGCTTTAGGATTGTCTGCGTCTGCTGGGCACCGTCAGGCGGGCATTTAACACCGGTCACGTGAGGGCGGGCGACGTCACCTAGCAACAGCCAACCAGAGGTTCCGGTCGCGTTGTAGTGCGCTCTCTCTCTCTCTCTCTCTCTCTCCCCCCACGCCCTGCTTCTGCTCTTGGCTTCCCGGGGCGGTGGAGGCGCCTTGCAGGTGACACACACAGAGAAGAGAGGGTGGGAGGAGGAGGAGGAAAATACATCCCCCTCAAAAAAAAAAAATAGTGTCTCAGATTTGGGGTGCTGGTCTGGTGGAGTTAGAGTTGGAAGGAAAATAGTTTTTGCAGTGGTTGAGTCTTCTCACTGTAAATCATAGCTGTCAACTTTTCCCTTTTCTTGCGAGGAATCCTATTCGGAATAAGGGAATTTCCCTTAAAAAAGGGAAACGTTGACAGCTGTGCTGTAAATGGGAATCTTCGAAACGTGTGTTGTGATGAAGACGCGGAATGGTCAGGCTAGGTTCTTGCTTGGTGGTTCTTGTTCTACCTCAAGATTATTATTGTTATTTATTAAGTTTGTATACCGTCCTTCACCCGGAAACCCCAGGGCTGTTCACAACACAAAAATAAAAAAGAGGACAAAAGAATACATAACAAAACAAAAACAGGAACGGAAACAAAGATCAGAATTATTATTATTTGTATACCGCCCTTCGCCGGAAGATCCCAGGGCGATTCACAACACAAAAGGAGGACACAAAAATACACAAGAAAACAAGAACACAAACAGAAACCAAGAAAATCAGAATTCTTCTTCCTCCTCCTCCTCTTCTTCTTCGTTGTTAAAGTTATGTACCGCCTTTAGCCCGAAGATTCCAGGGCGGCTCACAACAGAAACATGTCAAATGATCAAGGTGTCTCCCTTTGCTAGGTAAAAATGACCAGTCTGATCTAGTTGGATTCAGGTCATACAGCGGGATGCAACGCAAGGGTTTACTTGGAATCTGTAGGAAGGCCTCGCTGTGTTCAGGGGGGCTTTTCTCCCTTGTAAGTGTGCTTACTAGGCTGCATAAATGTTTGCTAAAACCATACTTAAGCCACGTTGTCCGACGAGTGTAACCGTCGTATCATAAAACGAAATATACCGGCCTATTCTTCCTTCTGCGCGCTTTCTTCCAATAAGTAGGATGACTTCAAAGGCCAAGAAGAAAGCACCGCTTATAGGCTTTTAAATTTTAGCTGCGAAAAGAGGGTTGACGTTATCAGGGGGGAAAGACGAAGGTGGAGGACAACTTCACAACTCTTAGGAAAGGATTGGTCTTTTATGCTTACAGCTTTTGCATCTATGAAATGAGCGGTTTCTAAAACCCGTGGCAAATACGCCCCACTTCCCATTTACTTTCGCTATCTGCCTTCGTCACTCAATAATGCACAAAGTACCATTGCAGGAGTTTGTGTGTGTTTTGTTGCGCGAGGAAATAAAATCTATAAAGACTGGCTGTTTGCGCTTGAATAAGGTGGGGGGGGTTAAACGAAAGGCCCGATGTTACAGGTAAATGGTGCGATTTAAACTGGGGAATCCATCCTTTCAGACGTTCAATGGAAAACAAAATGAGAATGTTTTTCAAAGTGAAAAACAAAACAAATCCGTACACACGGAGTGGAGCGAAAACTCATGGCTCCATATCCTCGAGCAATTCTGGACCTTCTAAGCTTTGCAGAGCCGTTCCTAGGCAGAGAAATAACGTTTGAAATAACAACAGCCACTAAGTTCACGTCCTGATCGTCTAACACAAGATTTTTAAAGGCATAACACATAATCATGATATATAGTTGTAGACAGCATTTTAAAAAAAATTAAAACACGCCTGGCTATCCCATATTTTGAGAGATTTAATTCAAGGGCAGCCTCCATTATTAAACAAACAAACAAAAAGCCCGCGGCGTCTGATAAGATTCCTGCCACCCCATAGGAAGAAGGATGTTGTACTGGAGAGGCGACAGAAGGTGTTTATGACCTTGCCTTTTAGCGCCACCTAGCGTGGAAACCGCGCGCCCGCGAGGCCAGGTAGGAGACGGCGTAATCGCACCTGGGCGCCAGTCTCTTCAGTCAGCCCGCCGAGCAAAATAGTAATTAAAAGCCGCAACCCTGTGCTGGCGCGCATCGTCTGAAATCCTCAGAAGAAAGAAACAGACCTGTGCGGTTTGAAACGACTTGTTGCAACAGCAGCTGAGCGGAAAGGCAGCTCATATTCTGAGAATCATGATGAAAATAAAAACGAAAAACCCGTCTCTCTCTGTTTTTTCCCTCTTCTCCCCATCCCACGGGCAATTAAAGTGAGGAAAGGCTGGGAGACAAGAGTTAAGCCCTCCAGGGACCAGTTTGTCCTTAGCCTCAATTGGCACCAAAATTACTGGCTGATCATCACCATCGATTAGATTTATACTTCAGCTTCACTCAATGTAGCTTTTTCAATCAACCTACAGCTCCCCACCCCACACTGTCCGTTTATACAATACTTCATTTGTGTGTCAGAAGAGGTAAGGGGTCATTTTGGCACAGGACAGGCAACTTTTCGTTTTTAAAAATCCTGTTACTGTAGATAAAACAAACACATTGGGACCTTCGGATAGCTCAAAGAATGTGCATTTTTTAGAATAATGTACTTTCTTGGGCTCCATGATCACTGCAGATGGTGACAGCAGTCACAAAATTAAAAGACGCCTGCTTCTTGGGAGAAAAGCAATGACAAACCTAGACAGCATCTTAAAAAGCAGAGACATCACCTTGCTGACAAAGGTCCGTATAGTTAAAGCTATGGTTTTCCCAGTAGTGATGTATAGAAGTGAGAGCTGGACCATAAAGAAGGCTAATCGCCGAAGAATTGATGCTTTTGAATTCTGGTGCTGGAGGAGACTCTTGAGAGTCCCATGGACTGCAAGAAGATCAAATCTAGCCATTCTGAAGGAAATCAGCCCTGAGTGCTCACTGGAAGGACAGATCCTGAAGCTGAGGCTCCAATACTTTGGCCACCTCATGAGAAGAGAAGACTCCCTGGAAAAGACCCTGATGTTGGGAAAGATGGAGGGCACAAGGAGAAGGGGACGACAGAGATGGTTGGACAGTGTTCTTGACGCTACCAGCATGAGTTTGACCAAACTGCAGGAGGCAGTGGAAGACAGGAGGGCCTGATGTGCTCTGGTCCATGGGGTCACAAAGAGTCGGACACGACTAAACAACTAAACAACAACAACACATGCTGGAAAGAAAAGGGTATCCCACTGAGGAGGCTGAAAGGGGTGAAACAAGATAGGAAACTCACTGTATGGACAGGTCTAATCCATGATTTCATGTCAACACTCTGATCTGTGCGTGTGTGAAGCCACTCTTTATAATAAACATGTCTGTGAAAGGTTTGACGTGCTGGTGTGTGAAACTTGAGGGAGGCCTCTCAGAAACCATATCTCTCTATTTTTCATTTTTTAAAAATATTCAACTGAACCTGAAAAACAGCTTCTTGACAAGTGTTGCTTTTCCTCATAGTGTGTTCTATACTCTGGCTATCTTGAAATGCTTGTAATCAAATTGATGCCAGAGGATAAAATCAGTTACAGTTCTACACTGTTCAGAGTGGTAAAGGTAAAGGGACCCCTGACCATTAGGTCCAGTCGTGACCGACTCTGGGGTTGCGGCGCTCATCTCGCTTTATTGGCCAAGGGAGCCAGCGTACAGCTTCCGGGTCATGTGGCCAGCCTGACTAAGCCACTTCTGGCAAACCAGAGCAGCGCACAGAAACGCCATTTACCTTCCCGCCAGAGCAGTACCTATTTATCTACTTGCACTTTGACATGCTTTCGAACTGCTAGGTTGGCAGGAGCAGGGACTGAGCAACGGGAGATCACCCCGTCGTGGGGATTCGAACCGCCGACCTTCTGATCAGCAAGTCCTAGGCTCTGTGGTTTAACCCACAGTGCCACCCCTGTCCCTGTCCCCGGAGTGGACATTGGGTCAAATGAAGAAGTTTTAGTAAAATGAGCTTTCGCTTTCTTTTAGCAAGGTGTAGAATTATCCCTGACTTTCTCCTCCCTCTGGCACAAATCCAGCTTTTAGAGATTCTGGAGTAGATGGCTCCAAAACATGTTATCAAATGTCTCCTGCGTTTTTACAGTGAACCCACAAGGGCCAACTTATTTCTGAACACCCTGAGAAGCAGGAGACCATAAATGAGTTAGCCAAGATGATTTGACAACTCTAGCCACAGTATATACACTTAGACGAGAGGGCCAAAATGATGTCTATTGTTGCATGGTGCCTTATCCAGTTCCTCAGAAGAACGCAGCGTGTGTGTCAGATTATTATTCACATGGAAAGAATTCTTCTTGGTTTTTTGGGGGTGGGTGGGAAAGGGGAGAAGAGATTCAGCTTAAGCTTCTCGACCAATTGCAACACCTTTGTGGTTTTAGAGCCAGGAGTGTCTCAGTAATAACTCTCAGCATTTTTACGGCACTCCTTAAGAGTCTAAAGTACTTCATAAGGCTCAACTTTCCTTACAACAACCCTGTAATGTAGGCCAGTTATTAGGATAATGCAAATGGGTACTGTGGCGATCACACAGGGTCCCCGGACGTTTCACCGTCTGTTGATCCCTGTGCCACCACTTTATTTCTCGCTGCCACCACCCAGGCCCTACCTGGTACAATACTGAGTCCAGTCAGGGTTAAATTGGAATATAAACTTCTGTTTATTTGTTGCAGTTTAACAAGCGTGTGGTTTCATAA